ATAGATAGATAGATAGATAGATAGATAGATAGATAGATAGATAGATAGATAGATAGATAGATGATAAATGGATTTGAAAAAAAAACCTATTCTCAAGATAATTTTATGTATGTGGGTTTTCTTTCCCCTCTTCCATTTGATTTTTTTTTCCCATTCAAATATAGCATTTCCACATTGATTTCATGGCTTTCATTTTTTAGTTAAGGACAGGTGACTCAGTGGCTTTTGTATTAAGCTGATTTGAAATAGATAAGATGGTAACATAGATAAAATATGTTTGTGAGGTAAGTTGTATTTTTTTCCAACCCATCAGAGACAGCTTTAAGAAACCATAAATTCTCTTACTATAGCAAGGTTAGAATTAAAAGGCATCAAAAAAAAAATCTGTCAGGAAGCAGTTGAATTTATTCTCCCGTTCCTCAGTGTGCACCTTTTCCAGAGAGTAGAATTATTTGTAAGAACTAGATGAAACATATTCTCTAAAAATAAGTTGGGGAGTGTTGTTACTGAAGGATGACTAGAAGCCTCCAGACTCTAAACATACAGCTATGACAACTTTTGGAAAATTAATCAGCACTGTTGGAAGTGGGGGTAAAATTTATTTGCAGTTGGATGAATGGGATTAAAGCCCTGCTCTGCCAATTCTTACTTATGTCACGTCGGGCATATCACTTAACCTCACTGAATCTTAGTTTGCCTATCTGAAAAAGGAGAGTGAATTTTTGTTATTCAATCATTTGGGACTCTCTGTGACCCCATTTGAGGTTTTCTTGGCAAAGATACCGCAGTAGCTTGCCGTTTCCTTCTCTAGCTCATTTAGAGATGAACTGAAGCAAACAGGTTAAATGACTTGCCCAGGGTCACGTAGCTACTGTCTGAGGCCAGATTTGAAATCAGGAAGATGAGTCTTCCTTATTCCAAGCTCAGTGTTCTATCCGCTGCAACACCTAGCTGCCCCTGTGAAATAAATTTCATCTAAAATTCCTGTTCCTTTCCCCTCTAAGTCCATGAACCTGTGGTCTTTTCTATTAGGTTCATATAGAGCATATGGATGGTCTGGCCTTGTAAAAGAAAGTATATGTTGACTGCAGGTAGACACATTAGTATCCCTTCCTGGCTAAATTAGCAGGAGCATCCTTAATATGTATCACATGCACAGTGTGATCTTGGCACTGTGCTGCACACACAGCAGGCCCTTTGTAAATGCTTGTTGTAACAGTTGGTATTGATTAAGTGCTGCTAATTATTTTCCATTCATACTCTTCTCTCCTGTGTTCTTAATGAATATCTCCTGCATTATCCCTTTTTAGCCAATTAAAATGCAAACTCCTTGAGGATTATAGATTTAGAATTGTAAGGAAATTGTAAAATTGTAAAAAAAAATTGGAATTGTAAATTTTTATTTTTTTTTAGGTAATTGGGTTTAAGTGACTTGCCCAGGGTCACTCAGCTAATAAGTGTCAAGTGTTTGGTCTGAGTCAGATTTGAACTCAGGTCCTCCTGACTTCAGGGCCAGTGCTCTATCCACTGTGCCACCTAGCTGCCCTGGGATTATAAATTCTAAAATTAGAAGTTACTGAGTCAAGGCCTGGGATTTTACAGATGAACAAACTGAGACCCAGAACGGTTACATGACTTGGCTAAGCTCAAGCACATAATAAAGTATTGCAAGAACTCAAACTCATGTCCTTTGGCTCCAGATCTTCCAGTGCTCTTCCCATTGCCTCCAGCTGCCGGCCTCCTGCTTCCTCCTTTCCTTTGTTTCCTAAGAATGCAGCATATGCTACTGGTAGTATCTTCTCAATAAAAGTTAGCTCATTCAAGAAAAACTCATTCCAAAATCAAAACAAATAAAAATAAAATACAATTGTATACAATTTGAGTTGTTGCATTCATATTCTAAAACATGTAGTCCTCTTCCTCTGATAGTGCCATCAATAAAAAGATATGGATAGAGGTTGAAAGATAGAGATGTTCATACAAGAGTGTACTGTTAAAATGTTTAACTACAGGATCTCACAAAACTCAAGACACCCTTTTTAAGTTTATTCTAGATTACTAACATTTCCTCCCTCACTTTCATAAATCTGTAAGATCAACAATTAAGCTGTCAGTTGTAGCTGATATCTGATGTGTAAATGCTTATACTGAAAATTTAATAATTACCTATTTTGGACTTTTTCAAGTTGGTTCCAGCACACCCCTTTATGCATACAAACATACATATGTATATGCATATTATCTCTACCGTAACTCGACTTTAATAAATCAACTTCTGTACTTCCGTATTTTGTGTATCTTTGAACAAAAATGAAGAAATTGGTAGGATCATCCAAACAATGAGATAATGGTCATTTCAAGCCTTTCTAAAAACTTCAAGAGGAATTTTTCATGTACTCATTCCTTCAAAAATTTATTGAACATTTATTATTTTATGTACAATGTAATAGAACATGCAAAGCATTTCAGTTTGCTTAGGTAATGAGGGGGGGAAAATGTATACCCTGTTTTCCTGGAAGCTAAATATATTCCCAATCACATGAACTACCTAAAGTAATTAACTTTCATCTACAGGCAGACTTCTGAGTAGAGAATATGCCTTGGAATGTGCTCACTGTTCTCAGTCAAGCAGAAACCACTTGTGACTCTTGGTGGAGAAGTCTTATCAGTTCACTTAATAAACAAAATGAGGAATATTCAGTAAAGTAAAAGTTTACCCACCTGTTTTAAGGTCCCTAATCTCCAAAGTTACCTGAATGACTTTGACATAGATACCTGATAAATAGAAACATAGACAGATAAACATTTATTTAGTGATTTCTATGTGCCAGGTACTGTGCTAAGCCCTGGGGATGAAAATATAAGCATCTAAGACAGTACCATGTTCAAAGAACTTACAATTGGGAAGACAACATATATAAGGGTGGCAGAAAGGAGAGAGGGAAGCTGGGGTCCTTCCCAAAACGATGGTGGTGAGGGGTATCATCAATGAATACAGGAGGACCTCAGGGTGAAAGTTCCCCAGAAGAGTAATACAGCAGACAAGGAGAAGGAGGGGGACTTTGGGGAAAATCAAGACAAAACTAGTTATAAGAATAGTAAAACTAAGAGGCAGGTAGGTGGCACAGTGGATAGAGCTCCAGCCTTGGAGTCAGGAGGACCCGAGTTCAAATCGGGCCTCAGACACTTGACACTTTCTAGCTATGTGACCCTGGGCAAGTCACTTAACCCTAATTGCCTCACCAAAAAACAAAAACAAACAAACAAAAAGGAACAGTAAAACCAGAAAGAGGGAAGGTGGGGAGAGTAGGGGAGAGTATGATTGTGCATATATATGTTTTAGGTAAGGAATTTCATACTTTCACAAGTATAGCTCAAGGAAGATCTGAATGCCTACATTGTACAAGCCATGTGCTAGGTGTTTTAAAGGATAGCTTACAATCTAGAATAGAACCTGGGGGCAGGTGGGGGGAGGAGCCACAGTAGGACTTTCCACCACCTATGTGTTCTGTTGCTTCACTTGTATACCCCAGGTTTTTGCTGTTTTTCTAAGTTATAAAGGGGAAAAGATGTCTTAAACATGCAATTACAGTCTATGCTGACTCCAATGATTTGATTCTGCTGCTTCAAATCAGACAATTTGATTCTCTTGTTTTGACACCGTGGACTATTCAATCCCAAGGATCTAGGGGTAATAATATGTGCATGGCTTTGTGACTATTGCTGGGTTTTCGTTGTTGTTGTTTTACCTTGATATTTATTATTATTATTAATTTTTATTATCTTGACTTGTGATTTTATCAGTGTGTAAAACATCTCATTGTAAACTTCCTCCAATTGTGTTGATTTTTAACCTTTCTGTAATTTATAGAGTTGGAGAGTGACCTGGGGGGACTGAGATGTTAAGTGACTTGCTTAGGGTCACATTACATGTCAGAGAAATGAACTTAGTGAAAGAACTGTGTTCCTGAATCCAAGGAAGGCTCTCTATTTGTTATGTCATAGACCCCCTTAATGGACAGTATTCTCCATTAAATGTGTCATTTGACTATTTTAATTTGATTACTTTCTCTCCATATCCAGGTCAATTTTTATTTTATTTTTAATTTTATACAGACTATTATTTTTTGCTATTGTTTATTTCTTCTGCTGATATGTATGGAGATATGTCATTCTTTTTTTAAATTTTTAAAATTTTTTTTTTTTTTGGTGAGGCAATTGGGATTAAGTTGACTTGGCCAGGGTCACACAGCTAGTAAGTGTCAAGTGTCTGGTCTGAGACCAGATTTGAACTCATGTCCTCCTGACCTCAGGGCCAGTGCTCTATCCACTGCGCCACCTAGGTATCCCGATATATGTCATTCTTTAAGAAGGCAACATTTTTTTCCAGTGGATTTGACGTGTTTTTTTTTTCTTTTAAATATTCTAAGTTCCCACATTTGCCTCATTCCCCCAATTTCATCATTCCCTTCAGCCTCTGAGGTTAAATGACAGATTCAAATCTATGGAATCAAAATACATTAGATTCTCTATTTATTTACTATGTCCTGACCTATTTCTAAAATTATCTTTATTTTCTTCCCCCACTATTGGAACAAGAGAGTTATAGAATGTTTGAATTGAAGGGTTGCTTGTCCACTGATATGGACTTGGGCCCTTATATCAAGAGCTGAAAGGGGCTTTACCATTCATCTAGTTCAGCCTTCTTATTTTACAGATGACAAACTAAAGCTCAGAAAACATAAATGATTTGCCCAAGATCATATAGATTTGAAAAAGCTCAGAGGCAGTTAGGTGATCCAGTGAATAGAGTTCTAGGCCTGGAGTAAGGAAGACCTGAGTTCAAATCCAGCCTTAGACACATACTAGCTCTGGGACCCTGGGCAAATTGCTTAATCTCTGTCTGCCTCATTTTCCTCAACTATAAAATGGGGGTAATAATAACACCTACCTCTCAGAGTTGTTGTGAGAATCACATGAGATAGTATTTTTAAAGTGCTTAGCACAGTACCTGACACATAGAAGGCACTTGATATAATAGTTGTTTCCTTCCTCCCTTTCTTCCTGAAGAAAATACTTCTTCACAAAATAACATTTTGTGCGATTGCCATTCAATGCATTTCTGTGTCGTATTTTGATGTTTTATAATCTCATCCTCCTCCCACCAGTTTGGTTAGGCTTCTTGTCCATCTTCTCTGCCCTTTTGTTGTTCTTTCAGAACCTCCCAGTGAGAAGTTGGCTGGAAATTATCTTACAAAGTGGAATAATTATCTTGAAATTATCCTTGTCACTCAAAATTGAGAAATTTCCTTTCCCCACTGCTATGGGCAGGATTACCACTTAGAGCAGTCATGATAAACTTGGGCAAGAGATCATTAAAGTACCTCACTTACTTTGAATAGGCTGATACTTCTTATATAGCTATTTTAATTTAAGTTCAAATTAGTACCATTTATTTTTTTTTCTTGTGTAGGTTAAAGCACAATCAAAATGCCCTTAGTATTTTTGAAGCTTTTAGTCTTAGCTAGCCTAGCTCTGTTCTTTGAGGAAAAGCCAGGGCTCCCCACCACGAAGTTTTCCACCCTTCCTTTGGACTGTTACAAATGACTATGCAAAACCTCAAGTAAAGTAATCTGACTGAAAATTATAAGGTTTGCTATCAAAAAAGGAAGAATCATAATTCTACCACCAGGAAACCTGTTTGGATAGATTCATGCACAAATAAGTTTTAGCTAGTTGTGTCTTTCTTTTGATATAGAAGATAATGATAGTGATTATTATTTGTACCATTTTATTAGAGATGCCTTTGAGCAACGGGTAACTGATTTGTTTGACAGTTGACATGGCATGTTTAAATCACAGAAGAATTGGCATATTGGCTGTGAGATAATCATGCAGCTGAAGCCAGGTTTGGCACATTGGATTTTACTGATACTGCTAGTTATATAAGATGAAATAATATTTCTCCCATCTCATCACTTATGATTATAGGGCCTAGCCAAAGCAGCCAATGTAGGGTGCAGTGAAATATATCTTACTGGCCTTCCTGAAACAAAGATCTTAGCAGTGTGGTATTTGTAACTTTTTTTAAATGAATACCTACTCATATTGCAGGGAATAACAGTAGGGAGGATGGTGAGAAAAAAAGAAAATGGGAATAAGATTTCTTACTTGGTATGAAAAGAAGTCAGACTCAAACCCATGCTGTCATTCTAAGGCAGGTATTCTTGACCTTTTTTTGTGTCATGGACCCCTTCTCTGAGTAATGTTTTTAAATGTGATTATAAAGGAAACCAATTATACTCAGAGACAGTTATCAATTTTTTCCCCTAAAAACAAGTTCGAGACTGTCAGGTTAAGGACCCTGCTCTAAAGGGAAGAAAATTGGTTCCATTATAATATGAGCTCCTTGAGGGGAGGGACCACGTTTTTGCCTTTCTTTGTATCACCAGCACTTATGACAGTGCCTGGCACATAGTAAGAGCTTGATAAATGTTTATTGATTAATTGACGGATTAATGGAAAAAAATTCCAGAGCTCTGACTAGCTTTTTTTCATTCTTAGGGAAAGCTCCATAAGATGTGACCAGGAAAAAGAGAACAAAAACTGCTCCAGAAACAACATGTAAAGAGAAAATGAGCTGAGTGGAAGGAAGGAGACAGAGACCCTGGGATGTAGGGAGGGTGGGCTGCAGGGTGGCTCACCCAGACATAAAAGATAGAGAGGAGGAATCCTTTGCTAATTGTTAGCTTTTTCTTTGAACTAATCTTGCTAATTGAGTACAGATTCTGGTTATTTCCACAGTGTTGAAGGAGAGTAATTGTTGTCAGCTCCCTGAGATCAACACCTGATCGCCCTTTGTTACCGCTCTAACGTCTCCCTTGCATAATGTTCATTTTCTGCTTTCCTTACAGCGGTTAGTGAAGGACCAACGCCCCAGCAACCACCCATGTTGCCCCAGACACAGCCTGAGCACCCCAGCAGTGAGGAGGCTCCAAGTAGGACCATCCCCACAGCCTGTGTTCGACCCACTCATCCGCTCCGCAGCTTTGCCAACCCCTTGCTACCTCCACCAATGAGTGCAATAGAACCAAAAGTCCCTTACACACCACTTTTGTCTCAGACAGGTAAGTGCCATGTTTGGACACATTGAAACATGTGGAGGCATCATCAGTCTTCCCACTTGAAGGTACTGTTATTGGTAGTGGTATTACCCATGTAGATAAGCAGGTACGTAATATGTTCTTTCTGTCTATATCAATATTCCCTGTATTTGTAACCAATATTTGTGGAGTTGATTTTAAATATCTCTTTGGTAGTTGCAGTGGATTTCATTCCCTTTTGAAATTGCCCACTGATCTGTCTTTTAGTTAATATTTCAGGCTGTCTGTTTGTTGGGAAGTGTTCTCAAGATATGCTCACCAGAGACTCCGCAACCCCACAGTGTCTAGACAGATGTTGGGTCTGGAGAGATTAGCAGGAGGGCTGGCATAAAGAAAGGGTATCATGCAAGAGTGAAGAACCTGAGGACTTGATAAGTGATTATAGAGGAGCTAACGATATATATTTTCTTAAATCTGTGAAAATTGTCGTCCCATTTCCTATTGTTGTTTTACATTTTGTCATCTTACAGATATTACTATCAAATAGATACATTAGTTTCCTCATTACTGATAGAAAGGTTTTCTTTCTTTCTTTCTTTCTTTCTTTCTTTCTTTCTTTCTTTCTTT